TGTCAGCCCAGAGAGAAGGCACCTCATTCTTGTTAGTGGTTGCAGAGACTGCACAGTGTGGCCGTACTGCAATTTATTCAGGCTCCTACTGATGGGTATTTTATTTATTTAGCGTGTGTGTGTGTGTGTGTGTGTGTGTGTGTGTGCGCGCGCGCGTTAGGGGTGGGGGGTAGGTACTGGCTGAAGTGGCTGTACACATATGTGTCCCTCTCCCTCCCCTCTAGGTTGTTGGAAGAAGGAAGGAGCAGTGGGAGAAGGCGTAAGAGTATGGCCATGCCTGCATGCCCACACTAGATTCCTTTCTTTGCCTCAGGGCAATTGAAAATGGATCCTATAGTCTTGCCCTAGGGCCCTGAGTTGGGGACTGTGGAAGGTGATGAGATTGGAGGCTGCTCATTTCCTAGGAGAGCTGCTTCTAGGACTCATTCTGAAAACATAGCTGGATCTGGGAAAGGCCCCAACCAATGCCCAGGGGAGTGGGGGGAGAGGGGGCATGGCTATTTGCGAATGATGCTCTGATTAGCCGGGTTTGTTAGCACCACCACCAGCTACATGGAAACCAGAGGCAATAACCAACAGAGGGGGACAATCACCTCACATTAGTTAGCAACCATACAAGTTCCTTGTCCATGAGGGAAATCAGCAGCACTGCTCCTCTGTACCCCACTCCCATCCTGCCTCGTGGGGATGGGAGACTTTAAATTGACCATGTGATTGATGGTTGATTATAAGCAGGCATAACCAAAAAGAGACCGGAATGTTTTAGAATCAGTCTTAAGTGTCATTAAATGTTCTCCTCCCTAGTAAGAAAGAGGAGCTGGACAGAGCATTGCTGGTGACATTTATTGAAAAATCAGCACCATTTCATATTTATGCCCCAGTTAAGAGGTGATGATTGGTGGGATACACATCCTCATGCACATCTTCATGCACTTAGGTGGGTATATCAGTAGAATAAATTCCCAATAGTGGAACTGCCGGGATCGCTAATATTTCATACAAATGAGTGAGGCCAACATTATAGCAGTGGGATTGTGGGCAAAGAAGGCACCCCTGGTTATGCGGGTTTAGAAGTGGGTTCTGAGAGCCCAGCTCTGGTTGGGGGAAGGGGAGAAGAAGAAAAAGTAGGTTCTGGACTCTTCTTTCAGGAGCCCTTGAAAGTGTTGCTTCTCATGTCTCCTATCCAATCTATTCAGTTAGTGTCTTGCTTCAGTATCTATCAGAGAGGCTGGTTACTAGTTGGCAATGTAAACCAAACCCCAACAGTTAGCATCGACAGCTTGATTGAAGGCACTTGGGAGTGGCTGGGAGACTATTTCCCTGGGAAACTGTTGATTGGAAAAAGCCACTAAAGATGTATAGCATGGCTGAGTCATGAGGAAAGAGGAAGCAGAAAAGGCAGAAAGGTGAATAAGGACACTGCCCCAAGCACATGAAGTAGCTCTGGAAGGTAGGAACCCAAGTGAGGCCTGTTCTCAATCCCTTGACCAGGCCAGAGCCAGCAACGAGGGCAGGGACTCTAGAGTGGTTTCCCAAAGGAGATTCCATGGAGCACCAGTCCAGAGGGGGAAACCCAGATTTAGCAATGCTGTCTACTCTGTTCCTGGGTTGGAGATTTCCAAAGTACATCAGCATAATAAAGGCTCTGAGAAGTCCTGCAGCAAAGGAACCCATTTAACTTTGATTAACCCAATCTTTCCCCAGCTCATTTGATCATGATACCCTTTCTAATATCTAACACCCCATGGAGGTCTAAGAGTGCCCTAGAGACTCTGTTTTAGAATAGAAGATAAGGTGGTTTGAAAGAGGCATTTCTCAGGCCCAGCGATGGAGCCCAAATTAGAGGCAGTAGTAACAGGCGAGAGGTGGGGCTGGTGGGGGTGGGTGGTTTAGTTCTGTGTCCCATGGCTTCAAATGATTTGCTAATTGTGTCTCTGTGGATATGGCTAGTTAACATTGATGTTCAATTGATTTTACAGAGCTATGCTCTTAACAACAACAACAACAAAAAACAGCACAAAAAGCTGATTTGGTGCCTCTGAGTATGAATATCTTCAGAGGGAGAGAGAGGCGCGCCGTGTGGGCCTTCCCAGACCCTCCATCCACCTGGCAGCAACTTATCTGCTTCCCGGCTACCTAGCAAACCTACAGGTGCAAAGTGAGGACAAACGTCATAGTCCTCCAGGAAAATGGGCAACAGTTTTGCTAGTGGGATGGGAAGTAACTTTTAAAATTCTTATATTTGCATTAACATTGTGTTTTCAAAACATTATCATACTGCACTCTCATTTTATTGTGTTAAACAATCCACTGAGGCCCATTTATCTCCAGAGAAAACTGAAGCCCACATTCATTAAGTAACTTGCCTAAGGTCACACAGTAATAAAGCTTGAACTAGAACCCAGGTCTTAGGACACTTTGTCCAGTGGTTTTCCCACTGCCCAAGAGAAGAAGACACTGTTGGCCTTTTAATGTGATCCAAGACTTGTGCCTTACTCAACAATGAGTGTTTGTTTATTGAGCACTGTAATGGATAAGCCAGACCCTACTCTAGGCACAGGGCTGTAACAGTAAACAAAGTCTGCCCTCATGGAGCTTACATTCTAGTGAGAAAGACAGATGATATACAAACAACTACACAAAGATGAAATATGACAGGGCTTGTACATGCTTTGAAAAGAAATAAATCGGGGTAAGGAACTACTGAATGATGGGGAGTCTTTCCGTGGAACAGCCTTTTGAATACAGACCTAAACAAAATGGGGGAATGGCCCGTGCAGAAGTTTGGTGAAGAGAAATGGCAAGTATAAAGGCTCTGAGGCAGCAGTGTGTTGACGTGTGTGAGAAACAGCCCCAAGGCCAACATAGACACAAGAGAGGGGAGAAGATGAGCTGAGAAGGGCAGGCAGGGGCCAGATCACATCCGGCTTTAAGGTGAGGGCTTTGGATTTTGTTTCTTGTGTGAAGGAAGGGATGGGTTCTAAATTATATCTTTGACCTATTCCTTAAAGCACCATTTCACAACTGTGAGCCATGATAGATATTCGGTTTCATTGAGAAGTTGTCCTGGGGTCTGCGACAGGGAGAACTGAAGGCTGGCCATGGGTTTATATGTAAAGTGCCTGGACAGTAATAAACTGGATAAGAGGACACTTCCCTCAACTCATCAGGACTCTTGGGTCTCCCAGAGTGTTTTCAGGTGAGCCCTGGCCTGAAAAAAAGATGAAGGAGTGTGTGGGAAATCTTTCCATGGAATACCCCAATCCTCCCTCAGCAAGAGCAGGCAGCTAAGAAGTATGAGGCATGAGTCAAAGGAGACCAGAGCCCTCTTGGCCTCCAAGGGACTCTGGAGTCAGACTGCCCGATACTGGGTTTAAATGTTGATATTGCTGCTTATGTGCCGTGTAACCTTGGGCAAGTTACTTAACCTTTCTCTGCCTTGGTTTCCTCACCTGTCATTCTTATGATTAAGAGTTCCTGACACACTGTAAACACTACATAAATATTTGTTAAATAATATTTAAAAAATTAATTCTACATTTCTCTTCCTTTTCTCTCCCCACCCCCACTTTTTTTAACATAACAATAATAGCTAATACTTACATAGTGCTTACACACCCCAGGCCTCTTTGTAAGGCTTCAGGCCTGAACTGGCCTCATACACTTGAACAAGCCCCAGACTGAGGGTCACTTGAGAGGTGGGAATCACAAGTCAACTGGTGGGCAAAAATCTAAGGAACAACATGGGTGGGGAGGCATCTCCCACAGGACCTAGGGATTAGCAGACTCGGATGGAAATTGGCCTGGCTTTGGGTTCTGAGCATCTAAGAAGGTTACAGATCCTCAGCTACAAAGAAAGGGCCATAAAAGTGGTCAGACAGCAAGCAGGACCAATAGGGCCCCACTTCAATATCCTTGTTTGACAAATGACCCATAATATGCTATAAAACCAAGATTCAACAACTGTAAACCTCTGTGAGGACTCAAAGGCTTTGCATTAAGCCTTCTCAAACAAGCACGAACACATGTACACAGTACTTGCCTGGGCCAGCACCACATATGTAAATGGGTGGCCTCCAGAGGTAGGAAGCAGGCTGGTAGGTCTTTCTTTACATCCCTGTACGTGCTCGCGCCGAAGGTAAAGACCATGTCCTGTTTAGACTCCCTTTTGAAAGGCACATTTCCTAGGGGTGTGGGCAGCTACTGGAAGGTGGCAGGAGGGAGGGGGCTTCCAGTAAGATTCTGTTTCTCTTTCTATTTCTGGGAGCTGCTTTGGGAGTGTGGTCAGTTTGCAAGCTGTGCATGTATGCTGGGTGTGCTTTTCTGTATATATATTATACTGCAATAAAAAGTTGTTAAAAGTGTACCTTCTCCATCGCTACATTGCTGTGTGCGGTGGGGAAACAATGGACACCATAAAATAAAGTACGTCATAGCTGTATGACAGAAGGCTGTGAAGCCACTAAAAATAATGAGGCAAAGATAAAGGAACTGAAATGGGAAGATGTTATGATGTAGTGTTAAGTGAAAAAAGAAAGTTAAGGAGCAGATAGTGTTATCTCAAGTCTGAAAAAAATTGTATTGAATTGTGACAAATAGTTGACATTTGATCATTTTATATGGTTCATCATATATATATCATATATGTAAATATAGCATAAAGAAATGTATGTATGTAAATTTTTAAGAAAAATAACATGAAAAAAAAACAAACTTTGAATCGTTAAAAATGGGGGTAGAGATTTTAGTTTCTGTGTTAAATATTTCTAAGTCTTTAATTTTTTATAATAAGTTTGTATTTAGTGATCAGTAAAACATAATAACAATCGCAAAGATAAAACTTTTTTTTTTTTTTTTTGCAGAAGGGGTGGATCTGGACAGTGAACCAAGCCTGAACTGGCATGAACACTAAGGTAAATTCTGACCAGGAAATGCTAAGCTTCCCCCTGAAATACCCTGAGCCTGAGTGGAGCTGAGCTGCGGTCTGGATGCAGACGTACCTGTAAAATTTTGGAGTAGCTGGTCACAATGAGCAGTCCTGGCACGAAGAAGTTCAAAGTAACAAATGACACGTCCCAAGAGATTTCTCCGGCAATGCTGGGCCAAATCAGTGTGCAGATCGGAATTTCCTAGTTACACAGAGGAAGAGAAAGTCATTTAAACGCTAGCTTCTCATTTGGCCTTTAGCTCAGTCCCAGCTGGGTGTTTACCGGGCACTGTTACACTCCTGCGGTACACTGCTACATGACTGGTATGACGAGAAACCCCAGAAGCCTTTCCGCTGCCCACAAAACCCCACTTACAAGTCGTTTGCCTCTGACCTCAGAGTAACCGTAACTGTTATTCCCATTCTCCATGGGAAGCGGCTGGCTCTCAGGGCCGCAGACTGGTAAGAGCCGGGGTCAGTTCCTAGGCATGACTCCAGGTTCAGTTCTCTTTTCACTTCCCTTACCTGAGCTGCAAAGAGCCTCTGAGGCTTCTCTTCCAAGTCCTTCATTTTACAGGCGAAAAAAATGACCCCCCCGAAAGGTATTGTACATTAGAAGTGACACACTACACACAAGCATATCAAAACAGGAATAAGGTTTCAGTGCAGTCACACTGTGTATGCTGAAGGCAATAGGATCTATGCTAAGGCATTAAGTATTCAAATGCCTGCGTGGTGCCAAGTTGCATCAGAGAAGGCCATGACTTACTCCGAGACAATTCTGGTACCCAGACTAGGGAGTTCTGTCCTCGTGTGCCTCTCCAGAGGAGCACAGTGCGGGCCCAGAGCAAGATGCAACCACCATGCCCCATCAATGCAAGACATGAAACCTC